AAAGGGGGCCCCTTTAGCACTATAACATGTAGTACTCATTTAGGTGTGGAAATGTTTGTCATTTTCCTATATTGGTTGGACATGAGTCTTTAGAGTAGTGGACTTTATAGCTTAGGTAAACTGGTCATATAATAGGGTAGTGCACAAATAAAAAAAAAAAAACTAGATAAAAAAAATTCTAATTGTCTAAGTGAACATATTAATATACTTACTATACTCTAAAGGGTTAAACAATGCTTGCTTATAAGGAAAATGACACATTCCCCTGGCGAGGCAAAAAAAAAAAAATTACTTTATACTATACGATTATCATACATACACGTATAAAAAAATACGGTCTAAAATACGTACTTTTTACTATAAAAAGAAATTACCCTTATCCAAAATCTCCACTCACCACTTAATTCTTATCTTCTTCCATCTTCCTTCTTACCCGAAAAAAATCAAACAAAAACCACCATTAAACTCAAACACCATGTTTCAAGAAAACCAGGAAGATCAGCCTGTCTTCACCTTTGAGGAAGACATGAGGATGATAAGGGTGTACTTCATGTACATTGTGGGGCTAGTGGTCCTCCTAATGGCTGTATTAATTTACTTGTTAATCCATAAGTGAAAACCCGAAAATTATTTCGGTGGAGCAGGGTAGAAATGTATGTAGTGTTAGTTGTACTTCAATATTTTGTAATTTAGTAGTTAAGAAGTACAAATTATAACATGTATTTTGGGAATTATGAATAAAATTCATTATTATTACTCGTTTTCTTTGTTTTAAATAATAAACGAGCGTCATTAAGTTTATAAAAATAATTAGCAAAATAATAATAATTATTTTCAAAGAAAACGATAACTATAAATAAAAGATAATTAATAATGATAATTACAAAGGTAAGATCAAAATTTGGTGTCTACAATCCCCTAGAATTTCAAGACTTTTTTACACCGGGCCTCAAAATCTCCAAAATTTTACAAAATGCGTGGATATTAGACTTCAATTTTGGAATTATTTGATTTTTTTCGCCCAAAAATAAAAATTGTCATAATGTTTACAATGGTCCGTAATACCCTCCAAGAGTCCACTTGGTTGGGTGCAATCATCCAATTTGCCTTTAAACAATCGATTTACCAGTTTACAACTTGCACCGACATTATTAATTCAAGCCTACCACGAACATTTATGACAGCAAATAATGATCATATATAGTTCCAAACGACATTAAATGACCCCGAAATATATACTCTAAAATTTCAAGACTTTTGACACCGGGCCCCGAAACCTCCAAAACTTTCTTAAAAATAGTGGATATTAGACTTCTATTTTGGATTTTTAAAACTTTTTTTCTCCCGGAAATAAAAATTGCCGAAATGTTTACCATTTTCACTAATACCCTCCAGGAGTCAAATTGGAAGGGTGGAACCATCTAAATTGCCTTTAAACGACCAATTTACCAATTTACAACTTGCACCGATTACATTAACTGAAGCCTATCACGAACATTTATGACAACATATAATGATCATATATGGTTCCAAACGGCATAATATGAGTTATATGACCCCGAGATGTATCCCATAAAATCTCAAAAAAAAAAAATTGACACCAGGCCCCCGAAACCTCCAAGATTTCTCAAAAAGCGTGGATATAAGCATTCTATTTTGGAAAATTTTGACTTTTTTTTCGATCAGAAATAAAAATTGCCGAAATTTTTACCATGGTCCCTAATACCCTCCGGGAGTCCAATTGGATGGGTGAATCCATCCAATTTGCCTTTAAACGACCAATCTAACGGTTTACAACTTCAACCGATTTCGTAAAATCAAGCCTACCACGAACATTTATGACAACATATAATGATCATATAAGGTTCCAAACGACATTATATGACCACGAGATGTATCCTCTAAAATTTTAAGGTTTTTCGACATCGGGCCCCACAACCTCCAAAATTACTCAAAAAACGTGGATATTAGCCTTCAATTTGGGAATTTTTTGACTGATTTTTGCTCGGAAATAAAAATTTCCGAAATGTTTACCATGGTCCCTAATTCCCTCCGGGCTTCCAATTGGGTAGGTGTAACTATCCAATTTGCCTTTAAACGACCAATTTATCGGTTTACAACTTGAATTGATTTCATTAACTCAAGCCTACCACGAACATTTATGACAACATATAATGACCATATATGGTTCCAATTGGCATTATATGACCCCAAGATGTATCCCCTATAATTTCAAGAATTTTTGACACTGGGCCCCGAAACCTCCAAAATTTTGCAAAATGCGTGGATATTAAACTTCAATTTTGGAATTTTTTGACTTTTTTTTCACCCGCAAATAAAAATTGTTGTAATGTTTACAATGGTCCCTATTACCCTCCGGGAGTCCAGTGGTTGGGGGCAACCATCCAATTTGCCTTTAAACAGTCGATTTACCGGTTTACAACTTGCACTGATTTCATTATTTCAAGCCTACCACAAACATTTATGACAATAAATATTGATCATATATGGTTGCAAAAGACATTATATGACCCCGAAATGTATTCCCTAAATTTCAAGACTTTTCGACATCAGGCCTTGAAACCTCCAAAATTTCTCAAAAAACGTGGATATTAGACTTCTATTTTGGAATTTTTTAATTTTTTTTTGCCCGGAAATAAAAACTGCCGAAATGTTTACCATGATCCCTAGTACCCTCCGAGAGTCCAATTGGGTGGGTGGAACCATCCAATTTGCCTTTAAACGACTAATTTACTGATTTACAAATTGTACTGATTTCATTAACTCAAGCCTACCACGAACATTTATGACAACATTTAATGATCATATATGGTTCCAAACGGCATTATATGACCCTAAGATGTATTCCCTAAAATCTCAAGGCTTTTCGACACCGTGCCCCCGAAACCTCCAAAATTTCTCAAAAAGCATGGATATAAGCCTTCATTTTTGGAGATTTTTGACTTTTTTTCACCTGGAAATAAAAATTGCCGAAATATTTACCATGATCCCCAATACCCTCAAGGAGTCCAATTGGGTGGGCGTATCTATCCAATTTGCCTTTAAACGACCAATTTACCGATTTATAATTTGCGCCGATTTCATTAAATCATGCCTACCACGAACATTTATGACAACAAATAATGATTATATATGGTTCCAAACGACATTATATGATCTCGAGTTGTATTCCCTAGAATTTCAAGACTTTTTGACATTGGGCCCCGAAACCTTCAAAATTTCTCAAAATGTGGATATTAGTCTTTAATTTTGGAATTTTTTTACTTTTATTCGCACGGAAATAAAAATTGCCGAAATGTTTACCATGGTCACTAATACCCTCCGGGAGTCCAATTGGGTAGGTAGATGGAACCATCTAATTCGCCTTTAAACGACTAATTTACTGGTTTACAACTTGCACCGATTTCATTAATTCAAGCCTACCACGAACATTTATGACAACAAAGTGACCATATATGGTTCCAAACGACATTATATGACACCGAGATGTATCCCATAGAGTTACGAGACTTTTCGACACCGGGCTCCGAAACCTTCAAAATTTCTCAAAAAACGTGGATTTTAGCCTTCATTTTTGGAATTTTTTGACTTTTTTTCGCCTGGAAATAAAAATTGTCGAAATGTTTACCATGGTCCCTATTGTATAATGTTAATGTGTTAATATACAACTTTTTTTTATAGTTGTATTGAAATCTCTTATGAATTATAGTTTGACTTTGTATACACTTGGTAATATAATATCTTGTATAATACAAAGTGTTTAATGTATATTTATCCTGAAAGTTCTTATGAATTTTAGTATGTGTGTTTTTACTTTCTATTAATTCTTTTTCAATTTGTATAATGTCTTGAATGCTACTCATATGTTGGCATGTACTTCTATGTTCTATAATACTAAACTAAGGGCATGTTCTCATTATTGACCGAAATAAGATGAACTGAACTTATTGATTAGTGATTTTTAACTACGGATTAATGATCTTTGATTATTTATTATTATATATATGTGTATATACAAATATACATATTAAAATATTTATAAAAAATACATAAAAAACATGGAACCCCAAAACATTTTTAAAAACATATACTACATTATTATTATTATTATTATTATTGTTGTAATATAAGCTTAAAAGTATGAAATTTGGCTTTAAGTCATTAGCAATATCATTAAACATAAACTTATTAGTGCTGAACTGAACTGAAAATAATCTAATGAGAACATATTTAATTTGAATGGAAATGATGTTAGTGTATGATTTATAAGGGGAAAAAAAAATACCGATACATTATTTCTTAAACAATAATATTGTGTAAGTCAATTCACATGCTATTAACTTGTGACTTTGCCCTCAAAAAAAAAAAAAAAAACTTGTGACGTTGGTCGTTCCTCAAAAAAAAAAAAAAAAAAAAAAAAAATTGTGATGTTGGTCGTTGAAGGATAGTTGTATAATAGAGAAGTTTCATTGTTTTTAATTTAATTTAATTTTAATTATTATTTTTTATATTTTAATAAAGATGGAATATGTAAAATTTGAGTATTTGACTCTTAAAAGAATTATGGTTAAAAGTTATGAAATACTCTTAAATAAAACTAACTGCCCACTCTCTTCCTTAAAATTTTCTTAAGATAGGAAAATCATTTGATATCAAGATTCTCTCTCAATCATTTGATACAATAAATATCAAATTCAACCCACTTAATTTGGTAGGCAAATCATGTGAGTAGTAAATAATGAATGCATTATTTATTTTGATTTGTTTTCCTTTTAATTTTTCATCATTATATAACGCATACATACCATCTTACTGGTAAATTAAACTCACTAATAATTATGTCAAAATTAAAATCAATGAACTTTTTTTAAAAAAACAAATAAAAAATTCTACTTGTATTTTCCTTTGGAAAAAGTAATTTGTTTTTTTCCCTCTTCTTTTCCCTCAACATTTTGTACTTAAAAAATGTTCTTATTTGCTTTTTTTGGTGTCATTAATTTGTAATTGTAGGCCATAATCTCCAGCTAACAATCAACACTGTTCAACTTTCAGGGTTCCAGAAAAAACCAAACTTATTAAACTACTAATAAGACCAATACCCAATCCTAGATTTGATTTGTCCACCTTCAAACTTCTTACCTTCCCTTCTCTGATACTTTGAATGATTGTTCAACTTCAAAAATTAAAGTCCAATATTCAATTTATAGCCCAATTCAAGGTTTGTTTCATAGCTCATCTGCAGCAGTTTTGAAGTTTGATTTTTTCTAGAAATCTTGTCTTTTCCTTTGTTTATTTCATAAGGAAATTTCCAGGTAAATCCTTCAAATTTTTGTTTATATATTAGATAGGTTGTATGTATAACACATCCTCAATTTGCTGCTTTCTTGCCTTTTGATTGAGTAATCTTATATAACCATTTTTATCTTTTGTTCAAATTCTAAACCCCAGTTGAAATTCAGACCTTTTTGCAATTAACTTGGCTATTATTTATATAAAGTAGTTGAATTTTGCAGAAATTTGAATACCCAATTGTTGTAACACCATATATGTTCAGTTCCATTGTGTAATTGATCAGTGTAATTATCGATTGAAGATGAGTTTCCGACATTGAGTAAATGTCAGTTGCCTTGGTTTCAAAAACTAGTTGATCAGTCGATGAAGATGTACTTTCAACATTGAGCAAATGTCACTTGCATGTTGTCTGCCTATAATTGAATGTGTATACTGTTTAGCTTGTGCTAGATGGGTCTGGAAGCGGTGTATATATGCCGCAGGCCATGAGAGTGAGGATTGGGGCCTTGCTACTGCTGAGGAATTTCAGCCTGTATCTCGGCTTTGTCGATATATTTTAGCTTTATATGAAGATGATCTTCGAAATCCCGTCTGGGCACCCCCAGGTGGATATAGAATGGACCCTGATTTGGTTGTCCTGAGAAAAGATTATGATGATACCGGGGGTCGGGTGACTCCTTACATAGTATATCTTGATCATGAGAATGCAGATGTAGTGCTGGTTGTTAGGGGGCTAACTATGGGGAGGGAGAGTGATCGTGCCATTCTATTCGATAATAAACTAGGGAGGGCACCGTTTGACGGCGGGTATGTTCATAATGGCCTTTTAAAGGCTGCTCAGTGGGTTTTTGATGAGGAGCATGAGGTGTTGAGGGATTTGCTTGAGAAGAATCCTACATATACGTTGACGTTTGCTGGTCATTCATTGGGTGCTGGAGTAGTCTCTTTGTTGGCACTTGTGGCTGTCCAAAATCTGGATATGTTGGGGAACATTGAGAGGAAGAGGATTAGATGTTATGCAATGGCTCCTCCAAGATGCATGTCCTTGAATTTGGCTGTCCGGTATGCAGATGTTGTCAATTCTGTCGTGCTTCAGGTACAACCATAGTTGTCTTTCCAGATTTACTCACTTGAATAGAATATTAAGAACTAAACCGCTTATCATGAAAGAATTTGTTGTAAACAGGACGATTTCTTACCCCGGACAACTGCTGATTTAGACGATGTTTTCAAATCACTAATCTGGTAATGATCTTATAATATGTTATCAGCTCCGTTAGTGGGTGAAATTTAGTATTGTTGTTCATAGTAGGTATAAGGTAATCTAGCCTTTGTATGCTTGTTGCAATAGCATGTTTGAATATTCAATTTGAAATATGTGTTATTGATTTAATATGTGCATTGCATTCATAAAGGTTGTCACATTTCCCAGTAATTGCTTCCAATAGATATACTTCGTATATGGTATTCGTTGGGTATTTGTGTCAGACACAGGTGTTTGTTTAACTGTTGTGCTGATGCACTAAGGTATTTGATGGAATGTTACCATGCTTTTGTTTAAAATAAAGCATCAAAGGTCCATACTCATGTCAAAGTTTGGGGATTTGACACTGGTATATGTGGTTAGAGGAAGAGTTTGAATGACAAAAATATCAATTAATTCCTTGAGCATGATGCTTAAAAAAACCCAGTTTTAAATTCAAGTGTGGTTCTTGTTCAGCAACTTTAAAATCAAATTTTCTCTAAGTGCTCTACGATAAAGAAATTTTTCACGGTGAAGAAAGTATGCTGAGCAGATACAGCTTTTAGCATTTAGGTGCTTTGCAACCGATTTGATGTATATGCTTTAATAACTGCTGATAATAAGGTAAGGTGCTTTGTTATATTTGGACCCTTGATGGTGAATTTTTATTTGGGATCTTAGATGGTCTTGAACTGCTACCAGAATGTTACTTTTAAGGATTCTTTTGAGTACTGGAAAACCACCTGTAGTCTAGGTTTCTTCTGTGGAATGCACTTGTCTGCATAGCCACAGCTAGTTTGCTTTCATTTATTAATTGCGCATCACAAACTGAAAACACTTTGTCATATGATTGTATGATGGCTTGCTTGATCTATATTTGGAATGTGAGCTCTTGTATCTAGATTTTGGTTTCCTGCTGGGTAATGGTTTTTTTTGTCTAACTCTAAACATATAGCCTTCAGCACATGCATACTTTTTAATCAAACTACCTCTGAACTTAAACAGTTTGCCGTGCTTATTGTGTGTTATGTGTTTAAAAGACACATGCATGATGGAGGAGAAGATGATAACAGATCCAAGGAGACTGTATGCACCAGGTCGCGTTTATCACATCGTGGAGAGAAAGCCCTTTAGGTATGCCTAGTGAAACTTCTTTATCACTCACCCTACTAATTTTGTATAGATGTACCAGGCCCTTTCTGATTTATGTTGTTTTACATCTTACAAACTATACTGAGCTAATGTCTGAAAATTCTCAAGTGCCTTTGTATTGGAATTTGTATAAAAATCCAAGGTTCTAGTGAATTTAATAAGCTAAGAAGCTGGCAGAAGCATTAGCATAGTTGTTCTTTATAGCTTTGTAATAGACTAACCTAAGGAAGGGCAATATTGGTAGTCTAGTATTATTAGGTTAGAGTCTTTAGCTTTAGTATAAATAGAGAGAGGGGAGAAAGGAGAAGGTAGGCAGAAATTTGTATTGAGGGAAACCTTAGAGAGTTATGGCCTAAAGCCATTGTTGGAGAGCTGTTAGCAAACTCACTATCAAAAGAGTAATAGCCTCAAGCTATTAAACCAAACCTTTTTTTTTTTTTTCTAATGTCAATTAATTTTAAAGCTTTCATTTTGTTATTTCTTCTTATCAATTCAATTTAATAAAAAATATTAAAAAAAAAATTCAGATTATTTAGTTAATCAAGAATTGTTCTTTTCTGTGAGTCCGGTCTGTGAAAATAAGTTCATTACAAAATTCCTTTATTTCTTAATATACAATGGGTTGGACTACAGCTAGTAGGGCTGCAATCTGAAGTCTAGCCAAGAGTTGGAGTTCTCTTATATCCTAATGTAGCCACTTGGAGCAGCTAAGCATTTAGTAGTGTTGTGCTCTGTGTAGTTGTAAGTTGTAACTGAATGAACTAACTTTTTCATGATTTTAATCCAGCTCCTAAACATGTTCTGTTAGTGGCAGCTTTTGATAAATAATGGCAAATACAAGGGATCAATATAAGTTTTAAAATTTTCAAATTATTGTTTGATTTATCAAATACGTAAAATTTGACCACTTAATTTCCTGGAGAGCAGACTTCAAGGATAAATATTGCTGCTATTTAATTGTTTTCTTAGCAAATGAGCTTTGCCTGAGTTTGAACCCGTTCATTAGTAAGTGTATTGGTTCATTTGCAGTCTAGCTGGAAGGAGGGACTGTGGACAGTTAAAGCTTAATCCCTAGTATTTGTATGCTCATGGAGGCTTGAGCCAAGTTACCTGCTCATCTGTCTAGCGATTATATAGGTAGTAAGTTTGTCTGGTGAAGAATTTTGTAGATTCATAGGCATCTCATGTCCTAGTGTTCATTCTATCTTGCATTGCATATGCATAACATTCATGACATGCATATGTTTCTGCCCATCTATATTTCATAATTCTAAAAACATTGTTTTGAAAAAAATAAGAGTAAGACCTTTGTGACTAGTTGCTTTCTATAAACCAGCAAAACAGAACAGACACGGAAAATTTAAACCATGAATTACATGTTTAGCGAGAATAAAAATAGGGATCCTGAAGAGTTCAAGGCCAAGGTTAACTAAAATTGGTGATAACAAAACATATTACATGATTATATTCTTGTGGCTGAAAGAAAGTGAGAACTCACCTTGTGTAGAGCAACTGCTCAATGCCAGACCTAACTATTAACTGGGTAATAAGAGGGTAATAAGATCATGCATTACATGAACATCTTCTGGGGGCTGTAAGCCTGTAAGGGAAAAGTTACTTGGTGTAACTTTTAAGAGCATTTGGTCTTGTCACAGTTTAAGGAGAGTGTACGGGAAGATCTTTAGTTCCTTAAAGCATAAGACAATTAATTATGCTATAGGGCATATGCTGTATTCTCTCTGGAATTACATTAATGACCTTCAAAACATATAAACTGAATTTTTAAAGCCTTTCTTTTGTGAAGGAAATAATGAACTTGTCTTTGATTGTTTGATTGGCTGTTCAGAAAAAAAAATACTTCTTTACCTGTCCATTGAATGAGATTGTTGAACCAGCTGCATGTGCTGCACATATCCCCCCCCCCCCCCCTCCTCCTCTCTGATCAAAGAAAGAAAGAAAAGATAGTAAATGAATGCCTTTTTTCTAAATCATATTGTTTTTGGGTTATAGATTTCAAAGATTTCCTCCAGTAGTGAGAACAGCAGTTCCTGTTGATGGAAGATTTGAGCACATCATTTTATCCTGTAATGCAATTTCAGACCATGGAATCATTTGGATTGAAAGAGAATCCCAAATTGCTCTTGATGTAAGTCTTTTAATTCATAGTAGTGGCACCTTTACAGTTAGCTGATGTAACAGACCACCTCAATTGTTATCTTTCTTGTCATGGATATTACATGCAGTGATACCATGGAATTTTGTAAAATATTTTTTCTTTTTTTTTCGGTGGAATGAATTTTCCTCAGGAAATGTGAGGCAGTATAATTTGTTATATGTTTCTGATGGTAATTGAAATCTTTGCCGCTGTATGGGAAACTTGTCAATTTTGATGGCTCTAATGGAATAACCTTTTGCTTCAGTGTTGAGATTTTATTTTTGATCTACTTAAATGAAGTGCGTATGTATAAGTTAATTTTACTACATCTATTTGTGGACGGTGTGTTTATATGTAAGAAAATGTCTCAGCTTTCACGATCATATCTTATTGAATCTTATTTTGGAGCGTCTTTATTAAACTCTTGTTTTTCTCAATTACAGTTGATGATGGAAAATGATCATGTCATGGAGATTCCACCGAACCAAAGGATGGAACGACAAGAGAAACTCGCAAGAGAACATATACTGGAGTATAGACAAGCCCTTGAAAGGGCTGTCGCCTTGGATGTTCCTCACTCCTTCCCACCTTCGCCTTACGGAACCTTCAATAATCATCCTGAGTCGGGGGAAGGATCGGATAAATTAAGTGTAGAAGGATCATCGTCATCATCCAAGAAGAGGAGAGAGAGCTGGGGTGATTTCATTGGTCGACTTTTTGACAAAGATGAGTCAGGCCATATGGTACTTAAATAGTACAGTATGTTATACAATGCAAATTGCAGAAACCACAATTGAATATTGCTTGGCTATCAGTCTGTCACATTCTTTTATTATTCATAGCTCATTACATTGTACATCAGAACATTTCCTTCAATATTAGTAAAAGGGATCATTCTTTTATCTGTTTAAAAGTTACTGTGGTCACTCTTCATCTCATTTTTGGCATTCACTTTCATTTAGCCAACATCTCAGTGCGGCTCTTTGCTGCCTGGGATTTAAAACTAACTTAAAACTGTCACGCTGCAAATCGAGACTGTGATGTCTAAGATCATAAATCAGACAAACGATACTAGTACTGTGCCATGACTGCCATCAATGTTATTGTCTCACTTTGGAGAATTAACTTAATAATGTACTCCATAGAATGGAGCAGGCTTACAGATGTTCGAAATACAGAGAGCATTTTTGGATTGCAAATTTGCAATAAAAAATAAATGCACCTTGAAAACAATATATTAGTATAACTTAAAACTGTCAAGGTGCAAAGCAAAGGGCTCTCAAAGCTAACTTTACAACCAGGTTTTCTACTAATCAAATCATGTACATGAAGCTTGCCTGACATTTACACCAAGGAAATCACCTATCCAATTTGTAACTACACCAAAACTGCATGGCTTTGCCAGCCGCTGCAGAAGAATCGTACTATTAATCTTCAATTATACCTGGGGGTCAAGAACTGCTTCTCCTGGAATAAATACATACTATCCCATATTATATATTGACATTGATTAAAAATGAAACATTGCGGAACACTTGTATATTTTGGGCTTCATTTGAAAAATCCTCATATTTTGCTAATTTTCTTAAAAACACTTGAGTGAACTAAGCGACTTCCCATAAAGATTAAATCCCAGTACAGTTAAATTTTGTCTGTAAAAGAGAGTAAATTTGAAAGTGTACCAAATGACAATTTCTCGTGAATTTGGCCATGAATATAGTAAAGAATTTATGAACAAATTACGATTATAACCTGACCTAGTTGAGGCATTAATGGCAGGAAAGAAAAGGGGAAGATATGCTAAAACAGGTGTCTCACCATGCATTTTCTTGACAAATCTTTCAAATTCCATAAGATTGTGCCTTTCCATGAGTTGGAGGCTAAGTCTGTGGTATGTAAATGATAACAAGTGACGACCATCAGGATCATTGAAGGGCTTTGCATTTTCAAGTATTTTGTTATATACTTCTCTACTATGACAAGGAACAGAGTTTTCACTGGCAACTGGAATGTTAACATCCCATGCAGCATTCAGAACCTGCAATTAAAGAGTAAAACTTGATCAGTAAAATCTGAAGCCCTAACTGATTTGACTTTGTTGGAGGAAAAAAATCGCAAATAATGATGTAATCTTATGCTTACTTGCCAAGCCAGCCCTTCAGGATCTGCTAGTGCTTCAGAAGAATCCTGAAGCTGATCCAACAAGCCCACTTCTGCAGTTGTGAAGGTCACAGCAGCTCCATGTTTTTTTAACATGGACATTACTGCAGCATAACCATCACGATTACATGGGTTGTAGAATCCAGCGGTTAATTCAGCTGCATGACTTGTAGTCTTGTACCACCAATGTATCCCTGATAGCTGCTCAGAAATTAGAGTTAAAACATCAGCATGTTAACAAATTCTGAAGTGGGGGAACACTGAGATAAAAATCAGAATCAAGCACATAATTTCTGAATGTGCAAACTTTTCTTATTCCCCCCTTTTCAGTAACTTTATATCCAGCATCAACAGCTGAAACCAGCTCCAACTAGGACAAGAAATAGTGATGTGGGAGAGAGGAGACAGATTAAATAACTTGGAATAAGTAAATATCATTATTATTAATGAAAATCTAGTCTTTGCAAGGTATGAGATGAACTGGTAGAGACAGCAGTTATTGAAGGTCTCTCTCTTTTTCAGGATTCTGCGATAGAAGTAATTACTCAATGGTTGGAAAGGGGCTTCATTATCAGGGTAGGGGAGAAAATCTTATCAAGTCATGCATCTATTCCATCCATTTCAGGCCTGTTCAAAGAACCTGCACTCTGCAGCATAGCAAAGAGAATATAAAGAACAATGTGGTTTGTGTGAATATCTAGTGGCAGGCTTTGAAAAGAAGCCCAACTGGGAGGCCACAGGACTTAGAAAGGCAGTGATATGGGTATTAATTTCCTACACATAACCTTAGTGGTGATGTAACTGTGGAAGTATGCCCTTAGCGCATATGGGTTAAGGTTAACTAACAACAATGAGCTTAAGCAGAAATGCAGAATGGCAGGAATGCAGGGGCGAACTCGAAAGCTCCCTATCATTCAGTGGATACAAAGATGGGCTGTGAAATAATGAAGTCCAAGAATTCCATAGCCTTTTTAAACAATTGGGAGGTGGGGTCGTGGCCTCGTGGGGGGTCAAACCAAAGGGGAAAAACTGAAGATATATCACTTGAAAAGTTCTTCAAGAAATGTACTACCTCTGTTAACTTTTATTTGCAACTTTGGAATATTTTATATCTTACAAATAATGTCCCAAAGTTGCAACTAAAAGTTAACAGAGCTAGTATATAAGTTTTCTTGCAAACAATATTGGCGATAAAAAAACTATGTTAGAAACTTACAACAGATGCACCTTTAAAGTTGACATTCATCAGCCCATTTTTGGTCCAACCACAATGATTAAGTAGCAAGATCAACCCACCTTTACAGCAATGCAGGTTCCCTCAAAAGCCAACTTGGCCAAAGAAAGTATCCGGTCACCATGGTCAACTAAGACTTGAGAGTACCAATTAAGAAAGAACCTGCCATAATAGCCATCATATTCACCCCCATCACAAAAAAATCCAGTCTCATGGGGCGTGAATTGTAAAAACCAGCATTAGTTGGCCCTTTAGCCCAAAATGAATGTCCTCTGGCTTCAGCTGCCTTTCGTAAGCTTTTCAACATATACTGATCATAACACTGCCAAACAGGACAAAGAAGTCAGTGAAATTGCATGCATATACATCATATGATGCTATACACAGAGATAAGGTGTTATATTACCATTAAAAACATCAGAATTTGATATAGAAAAATGCAGTTGCAGTAAAATAGAGAAAGTAATTAAACATATACTGCTCAAGCAATAAAGACAAGAGAACCAATATGCGCACAGGAACAAAACTTGACAAGACATTCCACAAGATTGAAAAAGTTAATTGACTATAACCTGGAATTCTCCGAGGCCAGGGTATCTCCAACCGTGCTTAACTGGGAAAGAGGGGTACCTCAAATCGCCACATGGACCAAGTCCAACTTCAATCATGGAAATAATACCATCTTCAAAGTATTCATCAAACTCTATCCGGAAGCTTCGCATGAAATCAAAGTAGACCTGAATCAATTTAAAACAGGATGAAACATAGCGAATATCTAAATTACATGATTTTATCATAGCTATGTTAAACACGGCAGTTTGAATTCTGCTGAGGAAGCATTAATAGACCCAGTTCTATTTTGAGTTCTCTCTTCTGGAAAACATGACATGTGGAAGAGGGATTGTAAGTAGGAAATAAGAAATGGGGTGGTGGAGGGGGCTGTTCCAGTAAATAGAGAAAGATCATCATATTAGAAAGATTAAACGGCAATACTTTGTCAGCAAAGGGTTCCCCAAACTTGCTAGCAGACTCAATTACAAACTGTTAATTTATCCACAATATGACCAGGTTGTTAAACAAGAAAATATACCTCAAAAGCTGTTCGACCTTTCAGCACTCGCTCTTTATCAATTCCCCATGAAAGACACTCAGGATTTCTTCGTCCCTCTTTATCAGTGAAATATATGTCAGGGTTACTACGACCAATCTCTGCTACCCAAAGGGGAAAAGGAATACAAACATCATCGCGAAAGTTGCCTCCACATTCATGAAATGACATCACAACCTGCGCTATCCAAACAGCTTTCTAACCTCAATAGGTAGTATTACAGGCTATAAGCTAACTATCAAGCATGTACAAAACAATTTCAAGGACTGTCATTTTGACTCATTTCTACTATAAACTTATAATTAAGTTTTTTTGGGACTCCAATAAAATGTTGAATATTTGACAGTTCACAAAAATTCGTTTGGTCCTGTCCTAGCATGCCGAAACAAGTAATCGATGAAACAGTGAAACAGACACATAGAACTCTTAAGGCTATCAGCTTTACCTGTAATTTAAGTTTGAGATCTTTTACTATTTGAAAGAGCCTTTTGTAACCATTCCAATTATACTCCTGCGCAGCATGAGCTTCCACTATCCCCCACCAACAGTCAACTGCAACACCATCAACATTAATTGATTTTAGAATCCTCAGCTGCTTCAGCACCCCATTAGGATCAGTAAGCTCACATTTCATATTTATGATTCCCAACTGCACCAATTAGCATAGACATCACATATGGATTTAAGCATCTAAGAGAACTTAAAGTCACAAAAACTAGATCCTGTTCATTTTTGCTAAAGATAGCTGTCAGGAGTCGAGATATATACTATTGTACAACCTACAAATATTTTTGACAAAGGTATTGACAGTAATTCAATTTATAGTTAGCACAGATACTAATAAATATAAAAAATTAAAAACTCACAGGTAGCATCACATAAACTGGTATATATGGAGTGCCTGCAAAGTCATGCTCATGCAACCTTGAGGAGGGATCAACCACCTATCATTTTAAAGAGTTAATCAGGATTATCAGTATAAGCAGCACAAAGCAATCAAGGTAATATCTAGATCCATCCAGCAATTAACATGCCTTTACTTTTTTCTAAAAAAAAAAGGTAAACTGTGTTCTGTCACCATTAAGAAAGCAGTTACTATCATAACCAGGGATTAAAAAGAGATTATCTAGATGAAAAAAGGATGGGATCATGCACCTTATGGTTGAAAGAGGGGGAGGGAAATCGGGGGATTGGGGGGAGGGGGGGGGGAGCTGTGGAGGAGAAAAAAGGATTAGATAGTGAACCTGTTTGTTACAAATGGTATCCACAGAGCTAATAAGAGGATGATTGTCTATTCGTTCTCCCCTACTACCTCCTGTGGAGGATGCATGGGTATGTGAACCGGAAGATACGTCATAAGGAGAAGCGGTGTGCCCAAAAACCTCTTTCATTTGACCGGTATTATATTCCA